CACCGCAGCGTTGTCCCTACGGCACCCCCCATCCCCTCACCAGCTCCCCTGCTCCGTAGTCTCATCAGCGTGACCAGCTGCCTTTTTCTCTGGGCTCTAGCTCTGTCCCCGCCCCCCCACCAGCCCTTCCATCGGGCTTCCCCTGGGGGCAGCCCTCCTCGTCTGGGATGGATCCTTCCGTCAGGGGTTCCTCCTCTGGGGTTCTCCTCCCCAAGCTTTCCTGCCTGGGTTTCTCAGTGGGCTGACCGGTCTCTGGGCTCTGCCTCGCTCCCATCTGGCAGGCCACCTCTCCTTTAGGTTCTCCCCCACCACCTGTCCCCTTGGCCTACCTGGGATTCCCATCATGAGGACTAACTGTCCTCCACTGAGCTCGACCAGTCCTATCAGCACCGTGCCGGGATTCCCATTGGGACTGCCCCTCAGGATACCCCATCTGGATCATCTTCCATCCACTGAGCTCTGTGTCCACCATCACAGCCCTTTGAGGCCAGGTCTCCTGCCTGGGATTCCCATCAGGAGTATCCTGGAATGCCCTCTGTGACATTCCTGTGTGCGCCCCCCCCCTCAGTTCTTTTGACTTTTGTCTCTTCTAGGACTAGCCCTCCTGCTTGGTACTCCCATTGATGTCTGTCTTCCCCTCCACCAGTCCCCCATTCCCCTCCTCGGTGTGCTTTTTGGTTGTCTTTGTTGTGACCATCCACTTGACCCTGGGTGTTATTGGAGATGGCTGGGACAGGAGGGGATATGGTATGCCTCCCCGAGCAGTTGTTATTTGCCCTAGAGTTTTCCTGAGGGATTCGTGCTGCTTTACCTTTTACTGCTGCGTCCTACCCCGTCTGCCCCCCCGGGGCTGACCCATTATCTAGTTCAACTGGCAGAGTGGGTTCTTGCAGTGGGAGCCTCAGACAGAAGAAGGGGAGTGGGTTTGAAGGGGCTGAGCTCATTGCCTAGGCTTGGCATCTGTCATATGCCGCTTTGCAGCCTGCACTGACTCAGAGAGGCCCAGAAGTGATGCAATATACTCAGTGACTGGGCTGACCAGTTGATAGGAATCTGCTGCCCCTTTGCACAAACTTCTCAGGAGGCCCTTGGAGCTCCTGAGATTGGCTCTCAAGGGGAGTGGGTTTGAAGGGGCTGAGCTCATTGCCTAGGCTTGGCATCTGTCATATGCCGCTTTGCAGCCTGCACTGACTCAGAGAGGCCCAGAAGTGATGCAATATACTCAGTGACTGGGCTGACCAGTTGATAGGAATCTGCTGCCCCTTTGCACAAACTTCTCAGGAGGCCCTTGGAGCTCCTGAGATTGGCTCTCTCCAATATTTGTGCCTTTTTTCTTCAGCAAGGCTGTGTCCTGATTCGTCCCTATGGCCACGGCTCCTGGCACAGCCTCTTGGTATCATGCCTTACTGGGCCGTAGAGGGGAGTGTTTGCAAGGCTGCCTCTCTACACTGCAGCCTTGGGCCAAAGGACGGTCATAGAGTGCTGGGGCTCTTTGTTTAGTCCCGTTTGGGGGGGACATGAGAGCAGGCTTTGTGCGGAGCCTCGGGAGGTGGGTTTGTCTCTGCACTGTCCTCTGGCACATGTGGAGATGGCCTGAGACTTACTGGTCAGTTCCCCAAACCAGAATCTTTCAGGTGGCTCCCTTGGCTTCTGCAGAATCTCAGCTTTTTGGGTGAAAAGAGAGCCACAGCGGGGACCTGTTGCAGGGTTGTCTGCCATGGCTGCAGACTGTTGGGAACAGCCCGGAGATGTATGTCACGCCTTGTAGGGCGCTTCAGTCACAACCTTAACTGTTTCATGGGTGCTAACTTCAGCAGAAACCTCCCAGGGGCACTAGCACTTTCTAGTTCAGCTGCTGCCATGTGTGCTGACTCACATTAAGCAAACCACTGAGCAAGATTGCAACACTCAGCCCCTCAGCAGGGATGCGAATGGTTAACCTGCAAGCAGCACCCAGTTAGATTATGGTTAACCAGTTAGCTGGCAGGAGCTGGAGCAGCGCCCCACCTGCTGTGGGCACGGGTGCTCCAGCCTAACTGGAGCAGCTCGGGTCGGTGGTGAGCCCAGCCTGGTCCCCTCCCCCTGCTCCCACTTAAGTGGTTGGCTGATTAAAGGGGATTTTACATCCCTACTCCTCAGCGTTTGCCTGAGAGGCTGCCTGGGGTCGTGAGAACTGGGTGAGCACTGCAGAGCTCAGCTGATGTGTGTAGAGGGGCATGCACGCTCCTCTGCTCCCTCCTGGGATGGAAGTACAACTGGACTCCTACAGAGCCTAGATCCTGGAGGTGGAACTGTTGCTGCTAGGGAAAGGTGTTAGAGATTACCCCCTCGCTGCCATCGTGTGGTTGCACCTAACTGCTGTGCAGGGTAACACTGAGTGTAGCTCAAACATTAAAGACCACAAGTTGCTGGAAAGACTTGCCCCCAAAGAAGGAAATGAACCTCCTCACCCAGCAAGGACACCTGGCTGTTCTGAGAGCTGCCCCTGCCTATGAAAGGTGCCTTGCAGTTGGGGAAGCAGATTGCCTGACAAGACAGCTGGTGCCTATAGTGGAGGCTCAGAGCCATGCCTCCTGCCAGGCCTACATGTGGTAGGTTCGCTTGTTCTTTGGGACGATGTCAGAATCGGTATTCTCAGCTGAAAATATCACCCCCTCCTCTGTCCACGCGGGCATTCCTTGTCTGGGAGCGTCTGGTTTCTGGCAGAAAGCTCTGGAGTGTGGTGTTCAGCCAACACACCGTAATGCGCAGGTGTGCAGTGCATCTGATGGAAGAGCAGCTGCACGGGTAAACTGAGGCAGTCCATGGCAATCTCTGTAAATACGGTTCAGCTGCAAGTTTTCAGCAGCTTACCAGACAGCCATTTGCTTTGAAATACCTCTGATGCCAGAACTTCCTTTCATGGGTTTCTCCTTGGGTTGGCCTACATGTGTCTGCCCTAGAAATCACAGCGAGGCTCCAGGGCACAAAGACCAATGACGTTTTGTGGGTCAGAGCAGTACTGTGAGGAATGATACACGGTCCAAGGGTAGGTCTTACTCCCTCTCAGGTCTCTCCATACCTCGCTGACCTTGACTGACAACCTCAGCGTACCAGCCCCATGTACTCTGTCTCAATCTGCCCCTGCTGTGTCCCCCCTTGGCTCCCACACATAAACTTGCTGGTGAAGATCTTCAGCCCAGAGCTGCAGCTTTCCTGCTCTCCACGAGCCCCTCCAGCCCTGCTGCTGCACCTCAATCTACTACAAAAGAAACTAACTTTCCACACTGCCTGGTCCCCTCTGCGTGGGCCCAGAGTCAGATTTGCAGACTTTCTCGTGTGGGGATACACTGCGGGGTCTGGAGATTCTGTGATGGGGCAGACTGGCAGGGTAGAATTAAAGCCACCTGAAATTATGAATCCAACACATTAATCTTGCTGCCTTAATGTAATTATACCCCATTGGAATGGGGCCTGGACCACCAGCTTTTCATCTCCGCACCTGGGCCCCTTGCCATGTGGCCAGAGGCACAGCGCCTCCTGCTGGCCTTCCAGCATCATGCCTCTCTTTAGGGGAAGGACAAGGTGTCTGTCTAGCCATTCTCTACCGGGCTGCAAGCTGCTTAGCTTCTTTCCTGCCTTGCATGCTTCAGGTGTTTGTTACATGCAGGCTCTTCAGGTTCCTCTGTAACGTGCAGAGACAAGTTGTATTTTGGGATGAGAACACCGTGGCCAGTCGCACACAACTTGTTTCCCTGGCTCAGCCTTATGCTCTTTGCTGGTCTGGGTTCAGCAATTGGGACAACCAGTTGAATCTGGTCCATGCTGGCATTGGGTCCCGGTGCTCTCATGACAGCAAATGCCATAGTTCAGGTTGCATGAAATCTTTCCCTCTGTGTTCACTCAGCTGCTCGTAACTTTATATATACGCTGGGTTGTGAATGTCTAGGCTCGGAAGGGTAGATTGTTATCTGCAAATGTCAGTGAATGTTGATTTCACTGTGTACATGCACGCTGATGAAAAACATTCCCATGCGTGATCGAAAGGACTGAGACAAAGTAAGAGAGGCTTTGAGAGAGCTAATTAGCATTTGAGGTAAGGTTACTTACTTTATACTTTGACATGTGATATTGACAGTTTGTGTTAGAATTCTTAGAAGCTTTAGCTTTTTGAATCGCAACATCTGTTGTCATAAGCATTTCATGTCTGATCTCCCGCACCGTAACTTCCCACCACTGTGCACGTTTAAACTGATAAAAATAAAAGTCTTGTACAACTTGTACAGATGGGAGTGGTAGGTGTGTGCTCAGTTACTGGAGATGTGTAGGGATTCTAGTCATTTGCATCAGCTGATATAAACCAAGTAAGGTGTTACTAGTGCTCCTGTATTAGCGATTGATGGGAGCCCAGATCCAGGTGCCTGCAATCTCTGGGTCCCAGAATCTAGTGAGGACTCCTAGAAAGGGGGAAAAAGAGACGGGGAAACCTGTAGCCAGCTTTGCCTAGTGGAGACAGAATTTTTTTTGTGCTGAGGAATGGCAGGCCGACAGGTTGGGCTGTTCTTGGGCCAAGTGCTGTTGGATTTTTCATGAATGAGGGCAGAGTGGGGCTGTGCTACAGAAATGAAGCACTAAAGACTGTTGTTTTATGTGTGTCGCTCATCTCGTGGCTCCAATCATGAAACTGCGTCAATCCCAGATGGTGCTTTGTCTGATTGTATCTGGATTCTACAATATGCTGCTGCATCCAAAGCCGAGCCAGACTGAAACTTTGCAAGGATTTGAGCTAAGTCAGCCTGTGACGTGGCTAGTTTTCCTCCCCCCCTCCCCACTCCTGCTGACGCTCCCCATTGTGTCTGGTGGCTTCCCCCTCCCCCCATAGACGTGATCTTGGCACACTGAGCTTCAGACTGAAGTTCTGGGAATGTGAGCTGTTAGTCTCTCGGGAGTGTTGGAATCGATTCCTGGCCTTATGTTTGGGTGGGCTTGTGTGTGCATGTGCCGGCTGGCTGGCTGAAGCATCTTGCTAAGGAATGGTGCCGAAGCAGGCAAAAATGCTCTACAGAGGCTCTTTTTTGGGGTAAGCGTTTGACTTTGGTTCCCTCTCAGTCCATTCCCAGAGGATCTCTAAAGAAACGCCAAGCTGTTAGGAGGCCCAGAGATTTGGCAAGATCCACTGACGTTTTTGTGGCTCTCTTCTCAACACAGACTTGAAGGGTACTTTTAGGAACAATGCCAACATCGCGATGCGTGTGAGCAGCCTCCCAAAAGCCAGTGCCTGCATGAAGGAAGGATCGTTTATATCCTGTACACCAAGTGGTCTTGAGCTTTGCTCCAGTGACACAAGACGAATTGCAGGGCGGCCACATGAACTGGTCATGTGACATGCCAAGCCTTTCCCCTTGGGGTCCCAGGCGGTATGCGGCCCGCGCTGGGGTGTCATTGAAGGATGAAACGTGTTGCTGAAATTCCAGTTCCTGAACCTGCCTGCCTGCCCCTGACTGGCCACTGTGTGTTTTCCTCTGGTGCTGAGATCTGTTGCACTCAGCAGGCTGCGTCTGGTCTGCAGGGCCCTGGGCAGCCCTGTCAGGTGGTGGGAGGAGCGTGGTAGAGGCCGGTTGGCGCAGCGGGTAGGCAGTCAGCCTAGGGTTTGAGACCTAGATGCAGTTCTGTGCTTTGCCACAGGCTTCCTGTGTGATCTGTAGTAGGAGTCTTTGGCTGTGGCTCCATTTCCCCAGTGGGGGACTGCATGAAAGATGAGGCGCTTGGGTGCTGCTGTGAGGGAGCCACGCCATCGAAGTACGGAGGGATGCACACCTAGGAGGGCCCCGCCCTCTCATGTGGCGGGTATCTGCTTCTTATGGTAATGGGCTGGTAGGTAAATACAGGGCTGTTTTGAGAGCGTGGGGGGGGCATTCACTAAGGTGTCGCATGTCCGGGGGGATCTGTTTGCAGGCGTTTCTCTGGGTGGTGTGCGCTTACGCAGTGTGCTGTGCTGTTACACCTCTCTCGTTACTGGGCGCTCACTGGCAATGTCGGGGGCCAAGTGGCTGCTTTTTTCCTGCTAGATTCATACCAGAAGAGGGGTCTTTGTGATCTAGTCTGATGGAGAGGCCAAAGGATTTCTCTAAATGACCCCTGCTGCTAGTAACTCGTTGGGATTTAAAATCCCATTTAAATAGTTAACGGGTTACACGTTGCTTAATCGATTAAATGGGGCTGAGTGGGGGTGGCATGAAGGCCCTCCTCCCGCGGCAGGCTGGAGCGGCCCCCACCCGCGATGGGCTCCACTGAGCTGGAGCAGCCCTGTGCCCATGGTGTGCTGGCCCGCACCCACCACGGACGGAGGCTGGAGCAGTGAGCGGAGGGGGCTGCTCCAGCCCTCACTGGGTAACTGTAACTGGTAAAGGCGACTCTTACTCGCTAACATTTGACGTGCCTAGTAACTATGGGGAGTTCAGTACCAGGCCAGTCCTTGGCGTGTCGCATTCTGCTGGCGAGGCCGCCTTCTGATGCAATCCCAGCTCTGTCCTGGCAGCTCCCATGGAGCGGAGCCGGGAGTAAGTTATTTATGGGCTTGCACACTGCTTTGCTTACAGCATTTGTCCTGTTGTGCTGCAACGATACTCCAGGAGTCCCTTTGCACCAGGGCCCCTCTGCACCGGGAGCCGGACAGACACAGACAAGCCCCTGTCCCTACGCTCCAGTCTTCAGTGTCATTTTCACTGGGCACCCAAGAGTATTGACTGGAGCTAAGAGTATTGGGTTCTGCTGGGTCAGACCTTGAAACGCCCGCTGTGCCTTCTGGGCAGGCACGCAGAGGTCACGGTACCGTTGGGTGGGTGGGACTGTGCTGTATTCTGCTGTGCGCTGTCACACATCAAAAGCTGATGAAACTGGCAGTGTAGGGAGGGACAGCCACCAAGTCTGAGATTGAAACAGCAAGTCTTGTTTCTCAGCATTGCAGGCTCCCCATCGTGTCCCCTGATGTACGCAGCGGGCATGCTGCCATTCACCTAGTGGGAGAGCTGGTCAGGGGCATTTAGATAAACGGCTTGACACTCTAACACCCTGCAGCAAACGGGTGAAGGGAAACCAAATGACCGTGGAAGAGAAGCTACAATGGAAGGAGACCTGGGGCAGTGGTGGCTTGCAGACCGGGCCTGGTTGTGTGCTGAAATGCAGAAAGATCTAGCTGTACGTAGGGATGTGCGTGTTTAACCGGTTAACGGTAAGCCTTGCCCGTAACAGGTAATGCTTACTGGTAAAGGTTAACTGGGGGCTGCTCCAGCCTTGTGGGGAGTCCACCATGGACAGGGGCTACTCGGAGTAGCCACTGTCTGGACTGGGTCACCCCATAGGCAGGGGCTGCTCCTGTTCGGCCTGTGCAGTCTCTGCCTGTTGCAGGGGTGGGAGGGGACACTGCTCCCGCACAGTGGCAGGTGTGGAGGGTGGTTCCAGTTGAGCATTTTAACGGTTAACCAAGTAAATGGGATTTTACATCCCTACTCTTAAGTGTATGGTATCAGAGGGGTAGCCGTGTTAGTCTGAATCTGCAAAAGCGACGAGGAGTCCTGTGGCACCTCCAGATCAGCTGCTAGAAGTGGGCCTCATCCTCCTTGATTGGATCACCTCATCATCTCCAGCCTGATCCTGGCCTGCATATTTATTCCTGCCTCTGGAAATTTCCACTACATGCATCTGACGAAGTGGGTCTTTGCCCACGAAAGCTTCTGCTCCTACACTTCAGTTAGTCTATAGGTGCCACAGGACTCCTCGTCGCTTAAGTGTATGAAGAGTCGTCCTGCCCAGGAGCAGGGATCTGATACCCCCTCAGTATGTAGTGCTGGGGACATGGGTTCCGGGGTGCCCCAGGCCCAGAAGAGGAGGCGGGAAGTGGAGAAGCTAGAGGCAAGAGGGATTGCGTGTTTTGAAGAGGGAGCAGAGGAATGAAACTCCTGTCCTTGATGAGCCTGCCAGCAAAGGGTGTGTGGCAGGTGTGTGAAGACTCCCACAGAGGCTAGGGAAGATGAAGAATTCGGGAGGGATTTTGAGGTCTTGCCTACACTGGCATCTTTTTCTCTCACTCATTCTTCTGCAGAGTAGCACTAGTGCGAGATGTGGCTCCACCTCACTATCATCTGGTTCTCAGGAAATGTCTGCGCTGTCCTTAGCCCGGGTGCAGACTGGCCTGTCCATGGGATGGCTCAGAGCCCAACGGCAGTGCTAACAGCTCTGCTCTGGCTCCCAGAGTGGCTCCGAAAAGGAGGGGCCAGGGTGTGGTGGGAAGGGGCAGAGCAGAAGTGTGATGGTGGAGTGGAAGTGGACGGGAGGGGAAGAGTGTTCTTGGCTCAGGGTGGGTAGAAACTTGATGGAGCTAGCTGGGGGAAGTCCAAGGTGAACAGCCGAAAAATACCTCCCCAGGGAGCCAGGCTGTGTGGGATAGACTCCCAAGAAACGTGGTAGGCGCTCTTGCTTGAGAAACTTGAACGCTGTGCTACTGAGTCCTCCTGCCCTTCCTTCTCTGGCGATGGGTTTTTGAATGCCACGTTTCCAGCTAAAATGTGTTTGAAGCCTGAAGCATCTTATCCAGCTGGGCGGGGTGCTCAACTGGCCAGCAAAGCTGGCTCTTAGCTGGGTGCAGAGCCTCTCGGCTGCCGGGAGGAGAGCCGTGCCAGTACCCAAGGAGGGGAGAGCTGGTTTTCTGTGGCTGAGTTGTTTCCGTTTGTAAATGATCAGCCAGTGTGCAAACACAAGGATTCCAGGGGCGGCTCAGTTCCCTGCTGCGTTCCCTTGGGTAGCCCCCGGATCCGTCTGCAGGGTCCACGTTCTAGCTGCCCCCTCCAGAGCTAGACTCTGAGATAAGGACTCTAGGGTCGCACCAGGTGGCAAAGCCAGGCATATTCACCTCCCCTCCACCCCCCTGAACTAGCTCCGTGCTGCCTGCCTTTCGTTTGGCTGTCAGGAAGGGACAGGCGCCTCCCCAGCCCAGAGGTGCATAGATATGTCATGCACAGAACATGCTGGAGCAAGAGGGCGGGGGAAAGCCCCACTGCATTCCCCAGGGCTGGCCTTTGGTTAAGCAGCCATGTGTGT